CGGCGTGAAGGATGCGCGCTCCAGACGGCAAGGCAGCAGCGGCCCGACGAACATCATAGAACCAACTCTCATCTGGGAGGCCCGTGTCCCACGACTCGGCGGAATCAGTCATCTTGCGCACCACGCGCGTCGGAAAGCCCTTCGTGTTCTTGGACAGCACTCCGAACGACACAGATGTGCGGAGCTACATCTGCTCGGCAGTTTGTGTGCACTGTTGCCTGAACAGCTCCAGGGCTCTGTCAATAATCTTCCCCTCGCAGTCGAGCCAGAGGGCTGCTTCGTGGGCCTGCTCAGCCTGCTTGTCCGTTGCACAGAGCATACGTGCACGACCATCTTCACGAACCGACAGGCCGTCATTACATGCATTGATACATGCAAATCCATTTGCACGATCGTCGGTTTGTACGTCCACCAGCTGCCCACACGGCGGCTTCGGCAGCACCACGTTGAGTACCAGGATGGGGAAGAGCAGCACGATGTTGAGCAGCACGAATCACGCGACGGGTACCCGTAGCACGATGTTGGGCAGAGCGAGGGTACGCAGCTCCACGAGTCCAACATCCGCGTGTGTACAGCACGACGAGTGCAAGCAACACGACGCGGAGCAGTAACATTCGCAGCAACACAATGCAGCGGCGGCCTCAGGAGGTGCGCTGCTCTTCAGCGGTACCACGCGCAGCAGCACCAGCGCACCCAGCAGCTCCGTGCAGCCCCAGGGCGAACGAGACGTTACCAGTGCAGCCCCACCCGAGCAGCTGCAGCCACGACTGCTTAGGCAGCCTCAGAACGCAACATGGGCACCACCAGCATGGTCATCTGCCGCACGGCGGGTTTCAGCTGCACGACTGAGTTCTTCACCGCGACTTCGACATCCACCAGGTACTTGCAGCACGAGCTGAAGCAGCACAACGAAGTTCAGCTGCCGTGAGCACGGCGGTGCCTCTTCTGTATAGCAAGTGGAACTGTTCAATGTTTGGTGAGTGCTTGCTCGCTCCGATGCCATCATATCCTGGCTGGTCGGTTGTCTCGTCTTGCCCCTCCTTGGCCCCCCCTTTGCTTCTCCCCCAAGTCGTCCCCCCCTGGGTTGACAGAGACCGGGCGCTGTTCCTGTTATCCGCGGCTCTGCGTCGATTTCCCATTAGCTCTGTGTTACGTTCTGCGGTTGAATGTTGTTGTCTGATGTTTGGTTATAGAAGTGCCAGGTCTGTCCACAGGCGATGCACGACGCTTTAGTTCATTCACCCCCTCGTCAGTTTGTTGTGCCTTCCTCATCGTCCTCCTGCTCTGTCTCCTGATGTTGCTGCATTCGCAGCTCAGCACTGGGCTGCCGCTATTTCTCACGCTGTGCATGCAGTTGCTTATGGAGAGTCGCCGTATTCCCTTTTCTCTTCCTCACTAGCCTGTTCTTCACTCTTCCTACTGGTGTGTCACTTTGTCTTTTACCGCACGTCAGCCTCGTTGCTCGATTACCTCAGGCTTCTCGGGAACGATTCTCGACTGGGCCGGCGTCTTGTGGAATCGATCCAGAGGGGTACCACGGCGCAATGACAGGACTGAATGTAAAGTAGATTCGATCACTCCAGAACGCGACCACATTATTTATCAGGCTGTCCTTGTGGCCCTTGTCGGTGATGTTAAAGTTGCATTGTCGCATCACGTTCCAAAACCTTTAAGGGAGCGAGAAGTACAGCATGAGGTACATCAGGAAGTTGACGGTTCCTTTGAGTCCAACTTTGATCTTAGAGGTTCCCTTCTCGTGGCGGGAAGTCGTGAGGTGCCTTCTGCGGCCACGGCGTATTTGGTCTGTCAGCCATGCCAAGCGCGCGAGAGAGGGCATTGCGCCCTGGAGGAGCTACCGAACCTGCAATTGCCTAAGCGAGATAGCTCCTCCTTATCCTCCTCCTCTCTTCCTATCCTTACATTATCCCGCGTCTCCGATTCATCGTCGTCGTCCCATCATCGCCATCTTATGCACATCCTCGTCATGTCCTAAGACGATCTCACCTCTTCCCTCGTCCAATAAAAAAGGCCCCCAGTCGAGAATACCCTATAACTGCTTCTACTGCCTTCTGTCTCGTTCCTCTACACCCCTGTCAGTCTTCCTCACCTCGGGGCCGCCCCAGAAGACTCCTCAGGAGTGACGACTGAGGCTTAGAGGGGTAGTGGGAGGACCTGAGGACACGCTCCGTGCCTAGCGGCACGGAGGTGGATTATCCGTAAGGGCTTCGTCCCATGCCGCCGGCCCCCTGTCTCGGATAATGGGAGATGCAAAAGCTAAATCATGAGGTCTGGGCGCCGCCGTGAAGCAGTGTCGGGACCTGTTTGTTTTTCTACCCTGACCCTACGGATCTGCGTGAGGGGTGCCGCCGAATTACAGAAATGTGGCAAATCCCTTGTGTTTTTGGACCCTGACCCTGCCGATCTGCGTGAGGGGTGCCGCCGAATTTTAGAAATGTGGCAAACCCCTTGTGTTTTTGGACCCTGACCCTGCCGATCTGCGTGAGGGGTGCCGCCGAATGTCAGACATGTAGCAAATCCCATGTGTGTTTTTGGACCCTGACCCTGCCGATCTGCGTGAGGGGTGCCACCGAATTTCAGAAGTGTGGCAAATCCTATGTGTTTTTGGACCCTGGCCCTGCCGATCTGCGTGAGGGGTGCCACCGAATTTCAGAAATGTGGCAAATCCCATGTGTTTTTTGCACCCTGACCCTGAGGCGGGTGGATTGCTGCCTGAGAGGGCGCGGCACGCAAACCCGCATCATCATCTCTCTCTCTCTCTCTCTCTCACTTTCTCTCGCTCTCTCTTTCTCTCTCTCTCTCTCTCTCTCTCTCTCATAAAATCATAAAGTTGATAGAGCTTAACAGTTCAATAAAGTTCATACAGCTAATAAAGTTGTTAAGTAAGTGTATGAATTGTATTAACTTTATTAACTCATTAAGTGTACTAATTCTTTTAATTTAACTAACTGGCTTAACTCATTATTGTTACTAACGTTTGATAGATGGTACGTATCGGCCACGCCCCCCTCATCTACTAAAGTAAGTACAGTTCGTACAGTTAATACGTTACTAAAGTTAATCAAATTAAGTTTTAAATGTATTGCATGTATGAACGTTGGCAACGTTATTAACTTTAGTAAGTGAGTTGTCTCGGCCACTGCCTTTTAATCTACCAAATTATATGTATGTGTGTCTACACATGTATATAAGGTTCAGAAAGTTAGTTAAGTTAACAAAGGTAATAAAGTTACTAAAAGTGATAAAGTTAAGTGTTAACTTTGTTAAACCTGTTAACTCTATTAACAGTTTAAACGTTATTAATTTTATTACCTGTACCAACGTTAGTATATGATCGTTCTCGGCCACGGTCTTCCAATATATCAGAATTCGCAGAGCGAATAAAGCTAATAGAGCGGATTATGTTAATTATATTAGTAAAGTTAATAAAGTGCATTATCAATTTTGACAGTTGATAAAATTCTACTACCCTTATAACGTTACTACTTGTATTAATCCCATTAGATGTAGTAGCTTTGGTAACCTTAGTAGATGGGGCTTCTCGGCCACGGCCCCACCATCATCTACTAAAGTTCATAAAGTTAATAAAGTTCCTACAGTTAATTAACATATTTGTTAAATGTATTAGCTGTATTAACTCTCGCGTGGAACTGCTACAGTTTTTTTCAACAAAAAAAATAGCTCACGCGTGGAGTTAATAAAATCAATATAGTTTACTCGCCGCCCTCAGGGGCCGCATTCCACCCCAATCACCCTGACCCTACGGATTTGCGTGAGGGGTGCCGCCGAATTTCAGAAATGTGGCAAATCCGATTCGTTTTTGGACCCTGACCCCGCCGATCTGCGTGAGAGGTGCCACCGAATGTGAGAAGTGTGGCAAATCCCATGTTTTTGGACCCTGACCCTGCCGATCTGCGTGAGGGGTGCCGCCGAATTTCAGAAATGTGGCAAATCCCTTGTGTTTTTGGACCCTGACCCTGCCGATCTGCGTGAGGCGTGCCACCGAATTTCAGAAATGTGGCAAGTCCCCTGTGTTTTTGGACCCTGACCCTGCCGATCTGCGTGAGGGGTGTCATTTTTTACCCACCCCAGCAATTCAGAGCATACGTTTTGGCCGTGGTAAAAATGCTTGTTTTGGGCAATAAGGAGTTGTAAGCAGCAAGAAGCAGAAATGTAACAGTGGAAACTGGAAGCTTCAACTGGCACAGGAAACTGCGAACCTTCGGCCTGCAGCCTGGTGGCCCCACAAGGGGGCCGGCGGATTCCCCCCATCCCCCCAGGGTCATTCTATGTAGAAGGGCCCTGGGTCTCGACGACCCCTTCCTGCTGGTCGCACCTTGCTCGTAGTTCTCTTCGTGATTGGCTCTCTGTCGGCAATACCCCTGTTCCGCACGCCGGCTCCTCCTCCTCCACCTTACCTTTCCCTTCTCTCGTTCTCCCTCTTTCTCGTGTCCTCGTCGCCCCCTCTTGCTCATTCTCTCCCCCCCCCTCCTCCCCGTCTTCCCCTCCTGTCTTGCAACTCCTGGCAGGCTCCCGTTCGTGAAGACTCCCTTCCTGCTCGTCGCCTCCCAGAGCCGTGGTCGGTTAGCCCTGTCTTGAGAGAGGGCAAGGAGGTCGGTGACTTGCCATAGGAACCCTCCTGGGGGGCAAAACAGCTGTTCACCTCGTCAAGCGTCAGCGCTTTGATTGGGCCCCCGTGGCTGAGCGGGTCCAGCCTGGGACATATCGCGCAATGTGGGAGGCCAGGGTGGGCAATCTGGAGTCATCCTGGGTCCTGCCCAGAGGGAAGATGTGGAGGCAAGGGTTTGTCTTGGAAGAGCTGGCATCCTGAGCAACCTACCCTCAGAGGGCTGGTGGGATTATCGAGGGCACATTAGTGTTGGTTGTCTGGCCTGGGGGGGTGTATGACAGGTGAGTCCTGGGTCACACTGCCCCTGATGGCGCCTAACTGACCGCGGCCCCAGAGCTGCTTGTTCCAGCTGATGTGGAATCTGCAGCAGAAGCCCACCAGCCCGCCGCAGCAGAGCTTCGCTACGGCCTTCGCCACCCGCGTGCGCAGCGTGGTGGAGAAGTTGCGCTCCCCGATGCACCATGTGCTGTCCTGGTCGTGCTGGAATCATGACCTGAGCTTGACCAGCCGCTTCAGCACGGACTCCGTGGACGGGGTCACCATGGAGAACGCGCTGCAGCGATTCCTGGAGCTGGACGGCGTCAACGCCAGCAACAGGTCCTACATCGACCGATGCGAGGGCTTCGCCTGCGGCACTGGTTGCGCAGGCGTGCATCACTCCAAGGGCGAGGTCAGCGACGGCAAGCAGCAGGTGGCCTCCAGCAAGCTGCCGCTGTCAGAGTTCCGCGGGCGCGTGCGGAAGGCACTCGCGGCCCAGGGGTGGTCTTCCGGTGAGCGCGGCAATAGCTCTGCCGGGTTCAGAATACTCGACTCGGACGGGAACGGTGTGCTCGAGCAGAGGGAAGTCGAGGGGGTGGCCGACTGGGCAGGCTCGGAGATATCTGCGGGGCAGGCCGACTACGCGTTCCAGATGATGGACCGGGACGGCGATGGCCGCCTGAGCCCCGACGAGTTCGGCCTGCTCTTGGAGGGCGGCGCGCCCCCAGTGAGCGTGGTCGACTTCAAGAGCCGAGTGGCCGACACGTACTCCTCGCCGGGGGAGGCCTCAGAGGAGGAAAAGGTACCCACACCGCTACCCTTCCCTCGTCTTCCCCCTTCTTGGGCCTCCTGGGAGGCTCTCGTCGCCACCGCTGGATGCGCATCGAAATCCTGGTCAGAACGCATCCCGAGAGAGGACCCGGGAGTAGCGGTATCGGTGCCTTTTGGTGTCTCCAAGGCCATCGAAGACATGGGCCCAGAGCCCATCGGCAGGAGCCGCTTCGCGGCGGTTGCCGAGGCCTTCCAGCGCCCCCTCACCGCCGAGCAGGCCGACTACGCGTTCGACGGGCTCGACCTCGACCGCGACGGTTCCCTGACCACCTTCGAGATCATGTCGGTGTTGGACAGCGGGCAGTTCTACCCGGACGAGAGGAACTTGCGGCGGGAAGTGCCCTCACCGCCGGCCTCTGCGACCGCCTTGGCCACCGCGGCACGCGAGCGGGCCGAGTCCCGCGGGGCGCCGCCAGTGATCATGGCGGTCGGCGGCGCTGCGCTGGGGCTGCTGCTCCTGCCCGCATCATACGTCGTGCTGGTGCGGGGGCTCAAGGCCGGGCGAGGGGAGGTTCGGATGCAACTCCTGGAGGGTCAAATTCTGAGTCTGCCCCGGTCCGAAATTCGGCTTAGTCCTGCATAGTCCCGCGAAGTCTGGCTCAATGCCGCTTGATCTGGTTCAATCCCGCTTAATCAGGTTGACTTCCCGCGTCATCCGCGGCCTCATCCGGCGTAGCAGCCCCCCAATGGGGCTCAGTCCTGCTTAATCCTTCCGACGAAGACCTCCCAGTTGTTGCCTCCTAAAGGAAGGGCCAGCCAGAACCGTCGGGCGGGCGGCAGCGGGGGGAACGAAACAGGGGGGTGGGAGATCAAGGGAAAGGGCCCTGGCCGGCCCCTAAGCTTTTGCCGCGGGCCCAGCAGGTGGACCAAATGTGCACGTTTCGTTACCCCACGTTCATTGGCATCGCTCGGATTGTGCATGTATTTTTCTCGGCGGGGGCCATCGAGGAGCACCTTGGATCTTCTTGCCAAATCAAAAGCGCCAGACATCGAAACATGCACGTGGAATAAACCTCCGAGCGATGGCAAGCTTCTAGCCCCCCCCCCGTTGGCGAACAACCGAAACCGCCGAGCCCCGCCGGGCCCACCCTCGTCGCGCAGACCGGCCACGCGGCCAGGCCGCGGGGAGCAGCGCCCCCCGCGGACTGTGCCCAGAACGCCCCCGGAGGTACAGTCTAGCTGGGAGATTTATCAAGGGGGTGGGGATTCACCTTCCGACTGAGCTTGCCCAATCCCGCCCCCCTCCATCCTCCTCCCCCCCTCATCCTCCTCCTCTTCCTCCAGCCCCCCTCCACCCGTCCCGACAGCACATGCCCACACCCCCAGCGGATTCAAGGTGGGCGATCATTGTCCCATCCAGAGTAATTTCGAGGAGCCCCAAACATTGATTCAGGCGCGTGGATGAGCGGTGGGCCCGTTTCCATACAGGGTCGGCGCGCTCCGCCACCCACATCGGGCGCAACTGGCGCCCTTTCTCCGGAGTGGCTTCCCCGATCCCATTGATCTGACGACCGCGCACCAGATCCACGCATCCCTGATCCATGTTAGCCTGCGCCTGGAAGGTACCTGCCGGTGGTCCCCGTGAGGTCTCAGGGGCCTGGCCCCGGAGGCGAGCCCGGGGGTAAAGTGAGAAGGGGCGAGCTTGGCTCGGAAGTCCCCTGGCCTCTTGAGTTTTTTCTTGAGCCTTCCCAGAAGACTCCAAGGCATCTCTCAGAAGGCGCGAGGGCTTCTGAGAAGCGCCGCCGCCTTCTGCGAAAGCCTTCTCCTCCTTGCTACCCCCTCGCTCACCACCGAAGGCCACTGGAGGCCCAAATCGGCCCGAGAGGCCTCGATCTCACAGAGCTCCTGGCCTCTGCAACAGCGGTCGCGTGCAGGACCCGGTGCCAGCCTGGCCCGCGCGCACGTCGCTTTACAACCAGAACGGCTCTTTCAAACCAGCACGGGCACACTCCAACCAGCAAAGGCTTCCCCCGAAGATCAGTTTCCAACCATGAAGGGCACTCTCCAGTCACGTAAGTAAATCCATGCGAACCAGGTGCTCACAGAATTCCAGATCTCCGTCGTCCCACAGAAGGTACGCACTTCGCTGCCTGACGCGTATTGGTTGTAAAGTGACTCTTCCTGGATGGGAAGTTGCAAATTCACAGTTCTGATTGCGAAGGGTCTTACCCAATGAGTGAAACGGCGAAGTGTCGGAGCAAGGAGGAAAAGCAAAAGTGCAAGTATCCTGGTAGCAGTCGCACGACCAGCAGCACTAGTGGGATTATTGGTATCGCAGACACCTACGGCGAATCACCGCCGCCCCCTGCCTTTTGAAATCGCCCATGTGGCCGAGCGTTGTGGCGAGAGCTCTGCCAAGCTATCGGATGTTCCCCCCACCATTGTGGAAACCCTTCGGGAAACACTTGGGGGAGGATGGCGGGGAAGATCAGGAGGAGCAGGAAGAGGAGGAAGAGGATTAAGAGGGGGAGGAGGAGGAGGAGGAGGAGGAGGAGGACGAGGACGGGGACGAGGACGAGGACGAGACGAGACGAGACGCTGGATACGTCCCGGAGGACGGCCCCTACAGGAGCGCGGCGGGGGCGCCGGAGCGCCTAGATATCAGGTGAGGTAATTCCTGTGCTGGTTGATGTCGTCGGGGCGTATGTTGTTCACGATGTTCTGTTGCATTCCAAACAGCCGCCATATATTATTTGAAAGAAGGCGTCATCCATCAACTCGAAGGCGCAAAGCAGAAATCGCTTTGAAAAGCCTCAAAGACGCGCTTGATTTGCTGAAAGGATCGCCCGCTCCGCCATGAACCATGTGGCATGCTCTCTGCCACATGTGGGTCCGATGCATGTCGCCATTATGCGTTTCGAACTCATATCTCGTCAAACGTGTCTTCGGCGACTGAGGGCATGTCGAATGTAGATTGCCATACTTCGTGAGAGGATCGCATCCATCGCTCCTGAGATAATTTTGGCTTCTGCACCCAAGAATACACACAATATCCATAAAATGGTCCCACACGGACTGAGACGTTGATTGTTCTTTCAAACATCCGGTTCGAAAAAAACACACATTCCCAAGTAGCAGATGGAGTCCGAATATGTTTCTATGCATTGTTCGTCCTCAGCTGTTGTATCGCAGTCCGTCGCGTCATAATGTTCGCTAGATTCATCGCTCCCACTCGTTCCTGAAAGGGGCTCGACCAGAGCCTCACAAGAACGATACGCACCAAAAATATCGTGATCTCCCTTGCGTTAATCACACTCGGTATGGGAACGTTTCCGCCAGACGCCCGATTTGTCAGATGTTGCAATGAACAAATCGATCTTGCCCAATGTTGCCGAAAGTGTGCCAACTACGCTGGCGAGCGAACGTGCTTCTGACTCGTTCGACCGGCCGTTGAATGCGGAGAGCTTCTCCATAACGCAATAGACACGCTGCTGGCAATGATGCACTGTGCTTTGCAACATGTGCTGGCATCCCGCTGCGTGGTGCAATAGACGAATAACATTGCAATACATCGCAGTCGAATGCTCTTTCTGTTTAGTGATCAGAAACCGTATCCCCAATAAGTGCTCCCTGATGTTTCGAATCCGCTGGCATGCGCACGCTGTCAATAACATTGTGTAGTTTGTCAGAAATGCAATCTGCAATTTTACGACGTTCCCGGCGTCGCTGGGTACAAGTTTGCATGTCATGCTCACCACTAGCTCGTATGTTTTGCCAGTCTGCGGAGGAAGAGGAGGAGGAGGAGGAGGAGGAGAAGGAGGAGGGGGAGGAGGAGGGGCATACTGGGAGCCTCTGGAGGCACTCGTGGGGCAATCCTGGGGCCTCCTGGGAGCTTCCTGGTAGCCTTTTGGAGGCATCTTGGGGGCCTCCTTGGGCCTCTTGGAGGCATTTGGGGGCTTCTCGGGGGCCTCGTTGGCCGTCTCAGGGCATTCCTGGCCCGTCTGACGCCGTCGGAAGCCGTCTTGGGGGCCTCTCTGGGCCGATTTGAAACCATCTTGGGGTGCTCCAGGGCCGTTGGGAGGCCATCTTGGGCGTCTTGAAGGCCTTTTGGGCCGTCTGGGCGCCCTCTTAGGGCCGTCTTGTGGGCCTCTTGGGCCATCCTGGAGGCTTCTTGGGCCGTCTGGAGGCCCTCTTGGGGCCGTCTTGGGGGCCTCTTGGGTGATCTTTCGGGTTTCTTGGGCCGTCCCCGGCCGTCGGAAGGCTGAAAAGAAGTAAATACCACAACCTTTCGACAACCTAAGGACAATCAATGATTTTGGCCGC